CCAATGTGGACGTTACGGTCACAAACCTTGGAAGAGGAAGAAACGTAAATAATTACCATCTTGGCTTGCGTTAGTGCTAATCACGAATGCTAAAGTTGCAGCAGATGTGATTCACTGCATTGACAGAGAAGTGGACACTCAAGTACGCTACGCTTGCAAAGGGTGCTGCAGCTGTATTCGATACAACCTATAAACATGGACAGTATAACAATTGGAATAATACAAATGTTGCTATGCAATTGTGAAAAGATAGTGGGGAGATTGGTTACAGCGATGCCTCTCCTAAAACACACAAACCGAGACCATTAGGAATCACAAAACAAGACACCAATGCAGGAAATGAAGTTCATCCTTACCTGATCAACGTACGGAGTTACGGCAAGGCCCAATTTCGACCTTATCGTTCTTCAAATATCTCACGAAGAACACCTAATTCAACACCACAAACAACTATATTCGGGTCTACATAATGTTTCACACAACCGTAAGCAGAAAGTGGAGTCAAGAATTTAACAAATTTTCCCATTATATTTTAACTTGTACCCGTGCAGGTGAAGCTGTGGCGATACTATAATCACCAAGTGACTCACAACACCGCCAGACGATATACACAAACAATAACTAATGCGCTTAGGGTTGACAACATAAACAAACAAAAAAAGGCATAAAAATTTGATTTGAAAAGAATTGCGATTTATACAATCATTAAAAAACTTTTAGCCTAATAATAATTTGGAGCAAAAGCAGAAAAAATTTTAAAAAACAAATAAAGTTTGCATGCATAAATAAAGAGATGAACACAAAACACTGGTAAGCTAAAAAGGACAAAGAAAAAATTAATGACGAGTTTGTCTCCACAACAGGTGTGTAAGCAGCTCTTCCACAGGGATCGAGGCTAGCATCGCCTCATTTGCATTTACCAGCCTCATTCATGAGTCGCAAATTCGCATGCATGTAGGACGTGGAATGAAACACCATCGCGGAACGATACCATCAAAAATGTAGCAATGGTTTAACCCGCCACCTATTTCTTGGCACTTGAGAGTGAGACAAATGTGAGGTGTGGTGTTCTCGCACAGCGTTTCTTAATAATAATAATCACATTTTCCATCCAATGCAATTTGATGGCAGATTTTTTATTAAT